TCTATAAGAAGAAGCACGAAACGAAGATCGATGCAAAGTCTGATCACCGTCTTTGCTGCCGCATAAGGCTGGTGTCAGAGTCCGCGATTCGTCGCGCGACGCAAAAATCGTAAGCGTTCCATTTGAATATTTGACGGACCGAATACAAAACAAGTAGATCATGAACAGCCGTTTTATTCAACCATCACAATCGAGCAGAAATGGCGGCGGAACTGGAGACACCCCGCAGTATTGGTCGGGTGATTCCTGCGATCCATCGCGCGATTCGCGCGACCCATCGCCCCGAGGCTCTGACACTGCCTATCTTCGCCTGTCAAACGGAATAGTAATGATCTCCAAAGATCCTACTCCTTTTTTAACAATTTGCGTTCAACGGGTTGGGCGTAGGAATGGGAAATCGCCTGTTCAAGATCACGAAAACCTGGAGGCAAGTCGTTTCAATGGATCCTCCTCCACATTGCTCAGTTCACGCTATCTTGTTAGAGGCTCTGGAGTTTACATGACAAGAAATAGAAGGTCTGCAGCCCACTTGGCAGGCAAAAATATGTGGGGCTCCTAATTCTGATTAGCTAGGATGGTATTCTACGCGTTTTTCTGCGTCTGCGAAACTGAAAATTTATAAAAAAGCGTGACATTGCAGAAAGGATGTTAGATGGAAGTTATGAGTAGGGGATCAGTCGATGCTTTATTGGAATTATTTCTTCTAAATCTGTTACCTAGTGACAATCGGCACTGGACCCAGAATTAATTTGTTTTCAGATACCTACGCTTTACAAAAACTCCGGGACATATCAAGCTTACAAGCTTTTCTCTGAGCTTGCTAGGTGGCAAACTTATGTTCAAAGACGTAGGTGGTTTATTAACATTTGCAATTTTGTTTGCATTAGTTTAAAACCCATATTTTCGAATGTGTATTACAGCTTTTGTTTGCGAACGATGACTACTCCCTTCGAATAAACGACGCATGGATAGTGTTTTCGTATTGGAATTATGTTCCTGGTCGGAAGATTAACTTTAAAAGGTTTGCATTGCCTTTCCTATAACGACTAACACTACCACGAGAATGCGGTTCCTTTGTCTTATAATTTCGATGTATTTTTAAATGATCCTACTGGGAGGTGCGAAGTTGAAGCTTTTCATGGAGGTTATGATCGCTCTTTCAGTGTAAGGGAAGCTAAATGACTGAAACACTTGTACTGCACTTTTGAGTGGGACTAACCGATTGTTGCGGTGTTGGCAGTATGTGGATGTCGTAGCCGAACATTGTTCGCACACGAAACGACAAAAATTCAAAAATGACGAGTAGAAGTAGTTCAATAGTAGGTTGCGGAGAAATATGTAATCTCTGAAGTTAGCTTTTTTTTGGTGCCAAAGCTAGATTGCTCGATTGGCCCCATACAAAACAATTTTCTCTCCACTCGACTTGAGTGGCCTAGTTACTCCACTCTCTTTCCCATTTGTGAGCTCTCTCTTCTTATTGGTTCATATTGCTTCTCTTATCGGCTTCCCTATAACTGTGTACTAGTTTGGGTGAGTGGGTTAGCGTGTTGACTCCGCGCCAGTCTGTCCTTTCTTTATCACACCTTTTGTTGTCGTCGTTTTTCGAGCTGGTATGGTAAATTTCTTTTGGGGTCAAAATTGGAGTTTGGGTAACATCGGATACTTCTGTTTGTGCAGCAATTCATTCTGGTTGACTACTTTTTTGATGGCGTCAAATCTTGCGTATATAATCGAGCGTCCGGCTCGCGTCAGGAGCATTGTAAACGGTTCGAATGGATAAAGATTGTTTGGTGATGAGTTCGGAGGTTAAGAGAGCTGTGCCTATCGACAGGTTGTTTTTGCCTTATCACTGTTTTGCTTTCCTGTTTTTCGTTATTTCTCATGGACGGTGCACTACTAGTCTCTCATCTCATTGAGGACTTTTCTATGCTTCTCTCTGCAAATTTATGGTACATTTCATTTTTGTCTGGATGATTCTTGGTGAATAGCTTACATTATTCGCTTTCGTAGTAAAGTGTTGACTCTGAGAGTTGTCTCGTTCATTTTTCATCGTCTTAAATTACTAGAATCGAACCGACGACGTGAATCCTTGTGTTATCGTTCTGCTTTCTCTATGCTCTCATGTTTCGATATCGAGCAATCCAATGATTAGTGTAGTCCTCTTCGATTCTTGCCCTCTCTTTTGACTCGCATTAGTGCTTTAAGTGGGAAAGTACGACTGCCAAATTTTGTGCTCGTTCATTCTCTATGAACGTTTTCTTCAGCGCCGGATCTTTGTCTGTTCATTGGGACCGCTTGCGTGGGATCCTTAGTAGGGAGTTATCAAGGCTAGAATTTTGGTCATGTCGTGGCGTGCGAGCTAGTGTGTGGTATGGGTGTGTGCGTGTTGTGCGGAAATTCGGCTTCTACCTACATCTGACTTTATTCAATGGAGAGAATATGAAACAAGTGTAAGATTTTGCGTAAGACGGGAGGGTATGCTACAGAATCAAAATATTCTCAGGCAAAGTTCGTTTACGTGAATCAGCTGCTGATCGGGCGTTGCTCTCAGTTGAAGGCCAGGCTGAAAGTGTTCGTGCATCGTTTTTGAAACATCCAGAGTACAAGGGAATGCCTTACAAGGTTGATTAGTTTTTTTTTATAAAAATATTTCTATTACGTGAATGTCAATTGAAGGCCACCTTTGTTGAATCTGTTTTTTATTTCATTCTTTACATCCATTCTAATGAATTCACTTTGAAGGATCCGCCTCGTACTATGGGAGACGGTTTTGCTATCCTGCAAAGTGCCCTTCTACACTTTTTCTATCACCAGGATATACTAGGTATTTACATGATTTATTTCTCTTTCCTCCTTTGTTGACATTTTTGCATAAGTTTCTGAAAATGTAAGCCACAGTGCCATATGCCCGAAAATGTCTATGCTGGACACCATTCAGGATACGTGACTGTTGACGAGCAGTCCTTAGTTTCTCAACGGCCGATTTGGGAGTCTATATGGCGTTTCGATCATAACACAGTGATCTCCTATGGTCCGTGGGCCGAGCAGCAGCGAGTTCTGCTTTACAGCTTCTTCTTTCCATCAGATTATCAAGTGAGTTTGAGTCTTCTTCATTCTTTTATTCATTGTACACTGCAGTGATATTTTTATCTATGAAATTTTGCTCTTTGCTTGAACGTTATTTATTGGATTTCTGGCAAGTGATACAAAAATCGTTTATTTGGACGATTGACATGTTTGTTACCAATAGCGTCAATCGATAAATAATTCTGAACCTTTTTTTCTTCTTGTTCTCCTAGTACTGGATGCCTATGGTTAGCGTGACAGGGTAACCCACCCCCTTTCTTTCGAATTGCAAGATTTTTTTTACAAAGTTCACTTTTGCTGGTGCTAGATCCGATGAAAAAGGGTCGGATAAGTATTGAACTGACTTTCGAAATGCGGTTTCAATTCAAATAAGATTTCTGGTGGTGAACTCAGAGCGTAATGCTAAGTTTTTGTGCTAATATGCCATGTTTCTATTTTTTTAATTTTTCTTGATTCTTTTCTTTGTATTTGTTTATAGTTCCCTTCAAACAAGATGAGCAAAGCAAAGCAATCCAAAAGTTTCCTAATTTTCCCTGCTGATGTTATGTTGGTTCAGACTGCAGTACCAGATGAACTTCCAAAACGTGGAAAACGGCGGATTCATATTATGCACGATGTGCGTATATCTCTTCTGAAGGAAACTTCTATTGACGTATGGTTTATGCGTGGTGATCAGCTAGAAAGTGTCCATAGTCGGTGTCAACCAGGAAGCACAATTGATGTAAGTTTTCTAATTTTTGGCACATACTTTTTACTTCTTTGACTTTACGGTTTTTGTTGTTGATAATTTAGGATGTTTTTCTTGACTAATTCAGAATCACCGTTTATTGCAGCATTGTGAAATGCTTCTAGCTTTGTCATCTCATTTTCATTTCTTTTCTGAAACTTTTATTCCATTGTTTGCAGTTCATCCCATTCTTCTCATGGACTTTTTTTTTAAATTTTTTTTTGCATTGATGGAAATTATTCTTTTTGGTGACATGCTTGCTAGATAGGTTTTCAGTTACGGTTTAACCTACCTAGTTGTCTACGCACATCAATGTTGACTGTCGAAATTCATCGCAGTCACCAAATTGATGTGCGATG